GACAACCCCCCCTAATTTGTAGCTTTTAATTCATTTTTTTGGTGCAATTATTAGAATACACTACAGTTTTGGTTTTTGTTTTTTAAGCACCTGAAATGCTATTTAACTGACTTGGCAGTTAATTTTCTTGGAACAATTTCCAGATCTCTCTTCAATAAACTCATTCTGGGTTTTCTGGTTGAGTAATCCTACCAATCTTTCTTGATTGTTCAGGTCAGTTTACGGTACTGAGGGCTCGCAGAAAGCGTAGAGCACTTCATCGCATTTTGGTCAATACTAAAGTAAATGTCTAAAACACTAATTTAGCTTGTAAGCAGTGCTATATTTTGGTATTTTGAAAAAATGTGTATTTAAGAAACATTTAAATGTCTCCTCAGCTCTTAAGGAGGGATTTCACCTTTTCTGAAATTCAAAACATAGCTCTTACCTTTCGACGGCGTCTCCAAGGCCTGATCTGTTTACTTTATATAGTAAACTGTTCGGCTTGGTAACGTTTCGATGATTCTTTGCATGGTAAGCCATGGTGCACTGAATTTTGCAAATACTGTATAGCAAAATGTTCTAATGCGCTTTCTTCCATAGTATAGCAATGCTGTCTTGTGGTGGTTTTGGGTGAAATGGCAAAGACAGTGCCAAAATACCTTGCTGAGCACTTAAGAGTGGCAGCCAGCTGAATGCAGTTCCAAAACATTGATTGCCTTGTGAAATGTCAACTTTGTGACATACCAGCATGTTGGATATTGAGTTCATGAAGGTCCTCTGAAAGTTTAGCAAATGGTTTAATGCTGCAGGGGTCATGGAGTCCATTGTTGCTCCTCCGCCTTGTTGCTTTATCTCTCAGTCAGTTTGTTCCAGACTTCTTGCAGGTCCTTCCTGTAGTTTTCCTTTCTGCGAGGAAAATTTTAGCTTACAAGCAGCTAATGGCTGGGCTCAAACCTGAATGAGAAGAAAGGGCGACATTGGATTTCAAGCCATTGGGGAGAGGGCAAATTTTTCAAAGGTGTTGGGAAACTTCTAACCATTTAATGAAGCTAAGAGAACATCTGGTTGAAGTAACTTGGTGATAACAACTGGGGTTCTCATTGTTCTGGGTAGGTGTTTTTATATGCAAAATGCACAGAAAATATTGAGATACACTTTAGTCGTGTCTTTTTAAAGCAGATAAATAAAACATATACTTTTTAAAAGTAAATCGGAAAGTTAGCACAAATGTTAATGTTTTGATTTACCAGTCTCTGGGATTTGAGCTGCTGAAGCTGCAGAAAGAACAAGAAACGGTTCTTGGGTCTGGGATTTCTGTGCACGATCCTAGGACGGTCTTCACAGAGGAAAGACCTGTCAGTGGTTTTACTTCCTGACTGCCAAATAAAGTACTTTGCTCAACTGTACATAACTTTCGGGCAGCTCTTCATTTTGAAAGAAGCGCCATTCGCATTTTTTTCCATCCTTTGGATTTTTTGTATTTGTCTTAAACTTTTAAGATGGGGTCACAGTTTTAGTAAACATCGGACTCCGGATCTTATCATTGTGCTGTTTGCACAGGAATGCAATACCCTAGTGGCTCGTCAAATCCAAGATTGTGCATTTACTGGAGCTCTCCCTACAGGGCATGCACCTTTAACCCAGAGCAGAGGCTCTGCAGACCGTGGTCAAAAGCCGTAAGGCTGAGTCGCCACAGTTTTGGAGCCAGATGGTGTAAGAACTGGTTACTGCTGTCTTCTGGATAGTCTGTAATACTGACTTGTCTTACCAGCAGGATGCAGGAATGGAAGGCGCGTGCAGCTCAGGAGAGCTAACTGTGTAAGAGCTGTTTTCTGGGCAAGTTACCTTCTCTGCATTTTACCACCAGTCTTAGAGAATCCGTTAACTTGGAATGATGGGGTTATAATGTTTTGTGTGGCCTTTCCACTAAAAACAAGTTACCTTTTTGTTTTCAGGTGGAATTGGAAAGGCAAAATTACTAGACATAATTGATAGTGAACATAAAATCTGTATATAAAGAAACCTAACAAAAATATCTGGGTGGGGTGAGGGAGGTGGGGCGGGAAGGGAGGTAGGGATGTCTGGGGCTGGTACGAAGTAGTCACTTTAACATTGAAACCTCTGCCTCATTGAATTCAGGGTTTAATGTACTTGAAGCTCTGCAGTTCCTTATTTTACAGCTTTTTTTATTTATACATAGATAACATTTTTGTATGCTACATTGAAAGTCTCTTTACCTTTCTTAACTTGAGTTGAAATTACTTTCCACTCCCAGTGTACAGTGAACCTAGGGCAAATGGGAGAGATTTTCAAAGCAGATGTCTCAGACTTTCGTGTGCTCTTACAGAAAAGTGTATTGCTTGAGACACAGCAACATTTTGACTTACTGATGTCCTTTATTTTCAATATTGCATCCATTTCCCCACCCCACCCCAATTATTTTTCTGTAGCAAAGAGTTTGCACTTACGATACACTTGGGAACTTTGGATGTATACAAGATGTTCTTATAAAAAAAAAAAAAATGCTGTTTCCTATATTCCTGAGTGGGTATCTCTCTGCTCTTGGGGTCAGAGGCCCAGCAGAGATTCATAAACTAAAATTATGTATCTGGGTTTCATTTAGGAGACTTTTGCATAATTCATGTGAAGACAAAAAGGGAAAATTATGTATGAATTTGCCAAAGCCATTCATTACTGTTTCTCATGTGGTACTGATTGCATTTGTGCGAGTGAGTGAGAGAGCTTCCATTTGCGAAGATGTCTCCTTCCAGCTTGGAAAGACAAGGCTATGTGTTGTCCTCTCCCAAACATCTGCTAAATAGCCTAGCACTGGACCATTTTAAGGAGTTCTCATTCACTTTTTTGATTTACAGACTGGATGAAATACTTACTCCATGTTCATAATATTGATCCGTGTCTTAATTCTAGTGTCATATTTTTTCATTTTTAAGAGAACTGATCATGTTGCCACTGAAAACCAAGATGATAAATAACTATTATAACTGGCTAGTAATAAGATTTGTCTTTTTTGTATAAGGGTATGTGCATATTTGAGGTTGCTATGAGAAATTAAACCCATTTGTTTCCACACAAGTGATATTGCACAACGAACACAGATACCTACAGATTCCGTTTTTTCATTTCCATGTAATCTTTATCTGTAACAATGACCTTTGTAGAGTCGTTATTTCTGTAGACTTTGTTTATCTGTAACAAACTTTGTAGATTCTGTGAAATGTTATTTTAACTAAATCACTTGAGTCTTTAATAGTAAAACATCAATATTCACTAAAGTCAATATCTTAAAAGAGTTTCTGGAACTTGACTAGAAGCTCTTGACACTAACAGAGTAGTGTTAATTTTCCCTGGGGATGTTCCACTAGGGCATTACTGTATTATGACTTGATGTTGCCGCATAGACTTGGAGATATACAACATTTTGGGGGGTTTTGTTGTTTGGCCTATGTTCTCTTGCATAGTGTGAAACCTGTAAAGCTTGGTTAACCTGTATATAGATAGCTTATTGTCAACTAGTTATAGTGTATTTAGACTTGCCTGTAATATTTTAGCTTCTTACTGAATGTGTGTGATGGTAGGACCATATAATTTTTGTACATTATATTTACTGAGATGTTGCCTTTTTTTATTTTACAAATACTTTGGAATTCAGATGTGTTTTTGCTTCCGTGAGGATTAATTTGGAAAGGTTTTTAATGACATTCCACTGACTATAAAATTTTGCTTGAGGTTGACTTCAATAAATTGTTCTGAATGTTCCAACGACGAGCGTGAGGTTTGTCGTGCTTTGCAGGCGGTGGGCAGCCTGGACTCGAAGCTAGGTAGGTGCTGCAGAAACCCGCGACCAACTATCCAATGAACGGACACGGGTATCGACAAATCGATAATAGTTTAAAAGGATTCAATTACACATGCAGTGTGGAAATAGAAAATAAATCCCTTGAACCTAGCCTCTGATTACAAAGCTAAGGTGAATGATAAACCTTAAGCACCCCTAGGAACTACTTGAGAGCTGTTGATTGTTCACTTCGCTGACTTCTACTCGGGGTGGTTTTGAAAAGTAAAGCTAGGCCTCAGTCTTATTCCACTCCTTGATGCTGTGTGTGGACTGACTCGGTACTAAAGTTAGTCATCTAAGTCAGTCCACACGCCCACAGTCTAACTGTGCAGCAAGGTGTCTACATGTGTTACAGCGCAGTTCCTAATAGGGCCATTGGTGATGTGTAGGGTGTGGGCACGTCCCCCCTTGAGCTTGGCCATGGGCGGTCGTCACTTGCTGCCGCTGTCAACAGTTGTGGGTGCTGCCTGATCACCACTGGCTGCTCCTGATGGATGTGGATGATACCCCTCTCCCCCGCCTAGACCCCTCCCCCCCCCAGCCTGCAGGGGCACGCGGTGTTCATGAGCAAGGCATAAATTTGATACCTGTACGATGTAGGTATCAAATGACCGCTCAAAATGGCGATGTGGAGGGGGGGCATAGGCCGTGCACCACTTGGCAGCGCCCTTGCGGTTTCGTGGCTGGCTCGGCGATCGGCCACCCGCTCCGGCGAGCTGAGTAGTTACTGCGCCGTTCCGGCATGCACGCGTAGGCGCGTGCCCGTACGGCGCAGTAAGGTTGGTTCGTGCCGAGTAAACGCCAGGCTCCGTTTCGGGCGAGGCGTGATGTGAGCGCGGCGTCGGGCGGCCGAGGGGCCCGCAGTGCGCGGCGGTGCCGGCAGGGG